AAAAAAAATAGGTCACAAAAATAATACATGTACTGTAACAAAACAAAATCATTCCACCTGTTGTTTGAAAACCAGCTTGCAGTTGCTGTTTTATTAACCCAAACAACCTTATAATGTGGTTATAGAAATTGTTGCAGTGTAACTTTGTCAGCATATATATGTGCATATAGTTACTGCATGCAGACGAACCTAATATATTTTTTCTGCTTCAATGCTGAAGATGAAAGCCTTTACACTGAAATACTAAGGTACATATAGCCCTGTATCACAATTATAATTATTATTGTGAGTACACCTCTTTTTTTTGTCTCATTTTTGCATATTAATGAACTTGATTTCTTTTTGAGGCAGTAACAATTTTCATATAAGTCACTCATATCTCAAAGACACTAAAAGAGATTTAATGACTTGGCAGGCACAATTATAAAATATTGCACCTCGTCAGTAACTTAAACTTGTTAAAGAGCAAACCCAATATTGGTTCTTTTAAATCTGCTCTTAAAGAAAAATCTGACATTTTAGATAAAATAACATTTAATGGGTTACAGGGAATAAATAAAGATATTGTAAATTATATATATTAAGGCAACAGTCAATTAACTGTTGTTTATCTTGCTAGGTATTTTTTTTATTTTTCTTTACTCATTGTAAATAATTCATTGGTTTGTTAATATTATTAGTTACTTTTTTGTAGATACTTTTTAGTTTGTAGGTCCACATCAGCTCTTTAGCTGCCTTTTTTTACTGACCTACATGACAAATAAAGTATGTATGTATGTAACTAACAATCAACTTGAGAAATGTTATTTTTAGTATGAGGTACTCCTCTTTGAAATATCAATAATAATAGGTTTTGGTTTTAAAATCAAGAGCATCAAGTAACAGCGTACAAGTGCTTTGGAGAAATGTTTCTAATTAGCAACCAGTTAGGGTACCTTCATTGTTGTAACTTTACGTTTACATTTTCCTAATAGTAATAATCATAATAACGTAGTTTTAATAAAACAGTCATATAGTGATCCAATTGGGTTACTACTACTCTCCTCAATCCATGTCAATGGTTAATATGTTGATGGGCAAAGAGCTGTACATACACCAACTACAGCACTGCCGAATTGTGAAAAACTAAATTTTCACACCAACAGGGTTGAAATGGCTTCGTATGAATATCAATCAGTGCATTACTTTAAAATGATAATTGTTGTAAATAGCCAAAATATGTGATTTTCTCTTCCAGATATCTGATTTAAGGCCGTTAAAAATCGGGCAGTAAAACATACTTCTGTGTTTTGCTATTATTTTGATATTAAGTCTCTCTATAGATCAGGTCCAACATTTATGCTCTTTACTAAGAAACTGGAAAATTTTTCAGCTCACTGGCCATGTACAAAAGGCTGCCTGTGGATTAGAGGGTGCGGCAATAAAACAAATGATTTTCAAATTGCCTGAATATTTAAAATAACATCACAGACATAAAAAAATGCCTAACTTACAAAAGGTTACTGAACGTCGCGCAACTATCGAACCCAAAGAAATCCTCTAAACAATCGAAAGTACCCAATAAAACAACACGAAAGAAACCATGTTCGACTTTCACTTACGAGCTGCAGCAAGAACAGGATTCCCTCGAGTGAAATGAGAAAATAGATTTTACAACCATAGCCGTCGCCTTCACCCATAGTTCAAATCAGTCTGAAAAGAATGAAAATATGTATTAAACAAGCTAAGTATGATGAAGCCATGTTTTCGAACGCTACACCATGAACAGATAAAAACGAACCACACCACTGGATAGCAAGCGTTTGGAATATCAAACAACTAGGGCTACATTTCGCAAGCAAGCAACCAAAATTGATGTTTAGGCACTTTGATTGCGAGAACGGAGCAGCCGAGCTTACTTTAAAAAGAGTTAAACCCAAATGAACGCAAGTTTTACGGAAAAGCAGCAGAAATGGCACCAACAGTACCGTAAACGCTGACTTTCGCTGTCAATAAAGACGCTCCGTTTGACTGCGGCGTTTATATTCCGAACAAGACAACTTGTTTTCAGTATCCCATGAAATAAAATGCTCACAATGACAAATGCAAAACTTACCCTTGAGTAAAGCCTGACAATATCAAAGCTGAGATGGTTAAATTGAAGCTGTACCAGTGTTTTGTATACTCTCGCATGAAAAGGATGAGAACACAACAACACGCAAAACATATCCAGCGGACTGACGCATAAATTAGCATAAATTGCTTCAGTTGCAGGCTGATTTCCGAGAATTCTAGTTTGTTCCTATTTGGTGGTCGAAAATCTAAAGGTTAACAAAAAAACTCAAAGCTGAACTCAATAAAGTCTTCCCTCTCCTTTTATTTCCATTGTTTTCATTTTTATTGAAGTGCCATTTCTTTGATTTACAAATTAATTTACTTTCACGAGAAACTTTTGATGCAGTTGCAAGGAAATACCTACCATACAACGGCTTTGTATGTCAGGGGGAAAAAATCCATCACCAGAGGTATGCCAAAAAAAAAAAAGAAAGAGGCTTACGCAAACCAAATCAATCATAGTCCCCTCAAGAGTTTGTTGTCGGGCCGGGCCCCTTCAACAGATAGGTCCGCATAACGTGACTTGTAGGATTAAACACCAGCGAAAGTCCACCAACTTTTACTCTAGCAAAACTCATGTAAAACAAAAAGAAAATGAAACAAAAAAGGTATAAGTCGGTAGAAATATTGGAAGCTAAAGGAATAAAGCGAATAGATTGTGCTAACCTCCTCGTCAAGCTGGAACGCAGTATTGATTATTGCCGTCTGCGGATCTCTGCTTGGCCCGGAAAGCCTGTCTTCATCTTTATTAGTGTACGAGTGAACCCCCTTTTACCTGTCTCGCCCTCTGCCCATACCAAACTTCTGACAAATACCATGACTACTTTCATGAAAGATCGGCATATTTTTTCAAAAAAAAAAAAAAGAACTGGACATCCAATCAAATGAAGCAAAAAATATATAAGAA